CCTTTGTTAAGTTTGACAGTGGTTTGCTTATTTTATTAATCATTTCAAAGAACCAATTTCTAGTCTTATCGATTTTTTCTATTGTCTTTCTATTTTCTGTTTCATTGATTTCTGCTTGAATCTTTATTATTTCTTTTTTCTAGGGGTTGAGGTTTTTTTTGTTGTTGTTTTGTTTTTTCTTGCTATTTTTCTTATTTTTGGAGATGTTGGGTTAAGGTATTGACTTTGGCTCTTTCTTCTTTTTTGATGTGTGCATCTATTGCTAAAATTGCCCTCTGATCACTGCTTTTGCTGTGTCCCAAAGATTTTGGTATATTGTATTTTCAGTCTTTTTTGATTCAAGAAATTTTTTAATTTCATTTTTTGTCTCTTCTATTACCCAGTCATTTTTTGAGGAGGGTATTATTCAGTTTCTATGCATTTGTGCTCTTTCCTTTGGTCTTCCTGGTGTTGATTTCTAATTTTATATCATTGTCATCTGTGAAGATATTTTGTAGTATTTCAATGTTTTCAATTTATTGAGTCTTGCTTTGTGGACTAACATACAATCATTCCTGAAGAATATTCCATGTGTGCTGGAAAATAATACATATTTTGCTGTTGTTGGGGGGAGTGCTCTGTAGGTGTCTATAACGTTAAGTTAGTTGATCATATTTTTTAGTTCTTCTGCATCTAGGTTGAGTGTCTTTCCAGTTGTTCTATCTTTTATTGAAAATGGTGTTATTAAAGTCTACTGCTATTTCTGTGGAGTCGTCTATTTGTCTTTTCAATTCTGGTAAAGTCTGCTTTATGTATTTTGGGGTTCTTTCATTGGGTGCATAGATATTTATTATGGTTTTGTTCTCTTGTTCAACTGATTATTTAATCATTATATAATTTCCTTCCTTGTCTTTGTGTGTGTGTGTGATTTAAAAGGAGAAGTTTTATTGACTGTTCTAATTTGAATCTGCTTAAAACAAAAAGAAAAATGTCTAATATGCAAAGCAATAAATGAAAAAAAATTATTTAGCCTAAGTCATTACTGGATACAAATCCACGGCTTAACAATGTGCTTTAAAAAGAAAGCATGAGAGTTTGCAAATGTTCTAACACACAGGGTTAAAAATAACAGGTAAAAGTACATTTGTTTTGGTAATTCTGAATATATATATATACAAAATTTACCAGATATACCCTGTAGTGTAGCACGGCTTAATTTCCAATTTTACAGTCATTCAAAAACCTTGAGGAAACATTAAAAATGTTCCAGGTTACTTTACTGAATGTTGCTGAATATTATGTTCTTGAGCTATTAGAGATAAAAATACTATTGTTTTTAAAGCTATGTGGGGAAGGGAGTAATAGAAGTATCATTATTTTGTTTCTTTTAATCCCATACATGGCTTTATGTTAAAGGGGGATCAATTATGTTAAAAGGAGGGTGACTTGACAAACAGATATCAGTTCCAGCATCAAAGGTATCCTTTTAGTAGAGTCAAAATGTATAACATTTCCAAAGCATTTTCATATTAATCTACTCAAATAATTCTAAATAGTTTAATCAAGGAACTCCCTGTTTAACACTATTTTTCTACACTAATAGTTGCAACAGAATCCCTATTATAGAAAAGGTTCTCTAGGCTTTGATCTGACCCTCAAAGTGACATCCATGTTAAGTGTTAAATGACTGACCTC